CCGAGCAGCTCCCGGAGAGCTCGGAGCTGGAAGACGACGACGCCGAGGGCCTGTCCTCCCGCCTAAGCGGCACCCTCAGTTTCACCAGCGCCGACGACGAGGACGACGAGGGCGACGAGGAGGTTGGCCCCGACCCGCTGGCTCCTGGGGACGGGGCGTCGGGAATAGACGCAGGCGAGTGCGGGGGTGGGCGTGTGGTCCTGGAGGGGAAGGGACGGGTCCCTGGGCCGCCATCCCAGCCGTGTTCCTGGGGTTGGAGCGGTGGGGAGGAAGCGTCTGGGGGCGCATGGAGTTGACCCAGCAAACTCCCCAGCACTTCTTCAAGTGCCCCCTCCCCCCCAGTCACCTCTTGGCTAGGTGACCTTGAGAGAGCCACAACACCTCTCCCAGCCAAATTGTCCCCAGTGTCAAATAGGAAAACAAAATCACCCCGTCCCAAAGCCAGGGCTAGTTTTAAACCTACAGGTCCTGGGTTAATGTGCTAGCCATGCTTTGGGGTGGAAAGGTTTAGCTGCAGACGCGAGCCTAACCTAAAAGGTCAGCCCCTTGACCCCAGCAGGGTCTCCAGAGAGAGATCAGCATAAATATTTACAGCCAAGGGTGGGGCGGCGTGGACAGCAGTGAGTGTCTCCGTTCCAGGCCCCATTTGCCATTATCAGCTGGTCCTCAATTTCCATTTCTGTAAGAGGGTGAGGAGCCACCCCATAGCTGGGGTCCCCTCAGTCCCGGCCCCCAGGCGCAGTGCCTTGACCTGGACCCGTACACCCACAGAACTGAGCACCCCACCTGACGCGCCTCGGGGCAGTCAGCTCCTGACCCGGCAGCTGCAGGACTTCTGGAAAAAGTCAAGGAGCACCCTGGTATCCCAGCGGCTGCTTTTCGAAGTCACAAGCGCCAATGTCGTCAAGGACCCACCCTCCAAGTACGTGGTGAGTGAGGATCCCGGCCCTGGGCTGGGTCCCTTGGGGGGTAGGGGTGGGGGTCTAACGACCCTTTCACAGGGGTTACCTAAGGCCATCAGAAAATACCTATTTCTGATGGTCTTAGGAACCAAGACAGGGCTCCTCTATCCGTCTCCAGGCAGGTCCGCCCACATGCAGATATGCCCACCTACCCATGCGTGAAGACTGTTACCCGTGCTACATCATGCTTCAAGACAAAATTTCATGTATTTGTCATTAGAAATAAATCCTTCACAATACAGAATTACATATTGTTTTTGTGATTCATCACTATACTTGAATTAGTTCAATTGTAACCATGAGAATACATCCTATCAGATATTTACATGACAGTAGCCAAATGACAGATATGAAGTAGCAACGAAAATGACTTTATGGTTGGGGGTCACCACCACATGAGGCACTGTGCTCAAGGGTGGAGGCACTAGGAAGGTGGAGAATCACTTGGAAACCCACAGGGGCAGTAATACTCGGTCCTAGCCGCTCACCGAGTCTGAATCCCCTTGATAACAGTGAGCTTGGGTGGTTTTGAGGGACTGTTATCTAACCCTTTTGACGGGAAGCATCTAGAGTGTTCTTAAGGTTAACCAAAAAAAAAAAATACTGGCCCTAGAGGAAGTGCTCAGATTCTGGGCCTGCAGCGTGGGAAGAGCTGGCTGTAAAACCCAGGGTCTTGAGCTCCAACCCTCTCTTGCCAGAAGCCCCTGGCAAGCTTTCTGACTTGGGGCAGGTAACGCTAGCACCTGGGTTTGTTTTTTCTTTGCTTACTTGGTAAGCGCGAGGCTCGAAGGGGTAGTGAAAGCCTGTGGACGTTGTGTAGTGAGTTGTAGGTTTGTGTGTTAGGTAGCAAGTCATCGGCCCCTCCCTCTCAGCACTGGGCTCCTTTTTGGCTCTTCAGGGCAATCACTGAAAATTTAATGTTATTTGTTCCTGTTTTAGATGTCAGGAAACAGGAAATCCTGCTCATATTCCAGAGCTCATAACCTCTCTGGGCCTTAGTTTCTCCGCGGGAGGAAAGGGCGTCCTAGCTTCCACTACACTTGAGAAAGTTCCAGAGCATCAGGTGGAAAGTGTTGGGATGGGGGGAGGTAATGTTGAAGTCGACCTGGGTCGCCGGCAAGGGTGGGAGCATCCAGGAGGGAGGGTGCTTCCCTACAGTTGGGGACGGTCGCAGGATGCTTGGATGTCCCAGGATTCCCAAGTGACTCCTGGAGCCAAGGGCCCGGGATTCCCAAGTGGCTCCGGGAGCGGGCGGGGCCGGAGGCGGGGCGGAGGCAGGAAGAGGTCGTAGCGGCGCTGAGAGC